GGCCGCCCTTGGCCTGCTGCTGCCCGAGTCCAGCGAGAGGGGCTGCCGAAGGGCGAACCCAGGCTATTCACTTCTTTCGTTTTGTTTTGTTTTTTCCCTGACTCGCCTGGCCAGGTACGAAGAAGCTACCCACGAGCTCATTAACGAGGAGCTGGGCATTGCGTACCCCATCATCGACGGCATCCCCAACATGATCCCAGAGGCTGCCAGGACGACTCGGAAGAAGCCCCCAGCCGAGGGCTCGCAGCAGCCCTGAGGACCCCCCAGCCACAGCAGCGAACTGGGACTGATGGCCGGAGGAGGCCTGCTGCCCTCCCTGCCCACCCTGACTGTACTTGTCCCCCTTCTCTCCCTAGCAGGCTTGTTTTACTCAGCCAGCGTAGATGAAACCTTCCCCCAGGGCTGCACCAGCACAAACAGCTTGTGTTTCTACAGTCTCCTCCTTCCTGTTACAATACCGGTGTATGTATTCTTCCACCTGTGGACCTGGATGGGGATTAAGCTTTTTAGGCACAACTAGTGCCGTGCATTTGCTAACCCCTGGGCTTCTCTAAAGCAACACAGTTTATTTAATCTCATCAGGTATTGCAGTTGATTTGAGAGTTCCCTTCTGTCTGTCGTAATTTTCCTAGTAGTATCTGGAACTGTATGAAGTCCTCTGCAGCAGCCTGTTAATTACTGCAAAGGCAGGTAAAGAGGAGGAATAACAAGAAGCACTAATTCCTTCTAGTGTATCCCTTCAAGAGTGTTGTGCGTTTGTAGTGGCACGAATTAAAATCTTCTAGGTGGTGATCATTTTTATGAGGAAGACCTGTACCCCAACTGAAATAACTGATCTTAAATAATAAGCAATGACAACATGCAGCGATATGAATCTCTCTTTGAATTATGAGCTTTGGTTTTGTTTTGAACTGATGTGTGTATTGGAATGTATTTGCCTCACTGTCAGAAGAATGTAAAATAAATTAGGCTGATGTTTAATAACAAAGCTTGAGTTAAATGAAGAAATTTACTTGGATGATACCTATGTCTGTATGTCCAGTAGCTGCTTGCCTTTTTTTAAGAAAAAGATGGGGAAATGACAGTGCTGCAGAAAAGATGTACTTCTGCGTTTGGGGGTTTTGTTAGAGTGGCCTAGAACACATTCCAGTGTCTGCTTAGATGTATGTCCCTGTGCTCTTTGTTAAATGTGTCTGGGTGCCCAAGTTTGATAGCCAGGCTGGGTCAGCTTCGTTCAAGAGGCATCTCCTGACAGGTTAGAGGAAAAATAACTCCAACTGAGCCCAGGATCTAGTAGCCAAGTCGGCAGCTACAAATGCTCTTTTAAGTATGTGGAGTATCTTTCCCCTTAGCCTTATCCTCCTCAGTAGAGAGGGAACGGAAGATGGTTCTGCTAAATACTTCAACCTTCCCTGTCTTCGTTTACAGCAACGCTAGAGAACGGAGTGACAGACCACTATGAGGGTGTCAACGTGCAAAGTTCTCAGTACGGTCTGACAAAATGTCTTAACGGGACACAGCTATGAAGGGGACAGGTTAATGCTATGATAATCTATTACAAGGGTTTCTTTTTTATGTTTTGTTACTGGGTGGTTTACATCTCCGCAACGCGGACACACATATGTCCTTTACCTGCTGAAACATTCAGAAATGCAGCACCAAGTGGTAAATACTGCAGACCTCTGTGTCTCTTGGTGGGATACTAATAATGCAGTCGAATTGATCTGGCTGCTGCTGGGCAAACAATGCTGTGATGCAGAGTCTGAAAGGCAGTGCCCGCAAGAGGTGTATTTGAAGGCTGACTAGCTAAGGGCAGCTGGTTTTGTACAATCAGTGCAGAGAGACTCTAGATCTAGGGGACAGTACAGAGCACAAGCCTTATTGTCTCCGTAAGTAAATGCCTCTTTCTGCTGATGTCGTGAGGTAGGGGGAAGGAAAGGAAGCTCTAGGAGCCACTGTGAGTCTTCTCCTAAGTGTAGAGGAAGGAAAAGCTTTGACAGCTCTGGCTGGCAAGAAAGCTCACCGGGAAAGAACCAGAGCTGGGTAACAGGGCACTGAGGTGGAGAGCTGCTGCTGCACAGGCGTGGTGCCAGACTCCTACAGCCCTCGTGTTAGTGACTGATAAGGCACACGCGCCCTGAGCTGAGCTCCGCTCTGGCCAGGGGCCCTGTTCCCACGCCAGCCATCTAACGGCTTTTGCAGGACAGGGCTAGCATTGCGATACCCGAAGAAAATACAGCTGCTAGAACCTTGGGGTTTGTGTGGGAACCGCAGACTAAAGCCACGTGGAGAAAGCAGCGTTATAATCAACTTTTCATCTCTCTCGCTGGCACTATCCTTCCCTTCCCTTCAGGCAGCATCTCCATGAGAGAAATGGCTTTTGTGGCTATGTTGCTTGCTGGCCCCCCAGCCACCAGGTTTTTCACGTACAGCAAGCTAGCCTAGAGTCTTTAAAGTCAGTCTAGCAGTAATAGTAACGGACTTTGCCAATTACCAGTTTCCTGAGCAATCCTATTACATTACCCCAAAGCAACCTCACAGTAAATAGCACTGCCACTTGCATTTAACTTAGGCCAACAAAGCTTGATGGCTACCTGCAAGAAGAACATAAGATACTGCCCTCCAGATTTACTCTACATCCCCCGTGGAATATGTTTTATAATAATGTGATGAGTAGTAGTTTTGTTGTATGTTCAGTGAATACTGAAACCCTTCTACCAATACTTCAGTAACACTGAAAACCAAAGAACACTGCAGCAATATATTCAGAGCTAACAAATAATACAATTTGGTATCTTACCTTTAATATCTTGCTGAATTGCTGGGTTGGTGCGTGTTCTAAATGGGTCCATATGTCTTGCAGAAGGCACTGTCTCCTGACCGGAAAACACCAGACTTCCATCAGTATTAAGCGTATCTGAAGATCAAAGTAACAGCATGTCAGCAGTGTGTTTATCTCTTCTAAATTGTAAAAAAATTGGCCACACTTACATCACAAAAGGGGCTGGACAGGGTGTTGCATTCCATATTGTGAACTAAGATCTTGTTTTGCATGTCAAAGATGCATGGATATTTGGTCAGCTTCCATAGGGCCATCTGAAATGGCAAGGAAAAAAAGAAAAAGACATGTTGATTTTCTCTTGCAAAATCAGAGTTCGGGGGTATATGTGCAGACTGAACTGCCAGTCTGTACCCTGGCAAACTCCTCCGTCTCTGAAACATGCCCTCGTTGCGTACATGACCACTACACCAACAGAGGCACGCTTTCTAAAAGCAGCTTCTAAACGCTCCTGTGAGTGGGAGACCCTGACAAGAGAGGCATCTGAACTGTCTGTGCCGGCAGACGCTTGTGTTACAGTGCCCCAAGAATGAAACAGAGACATAATGACTTTAATAGCATCTTCCATAATTCAGCTGAACTAAAACACATAGTAAAAATGTCCTGGACACCCAGGTTATGGTACATTGTTGTTAAAATCTGTTGGGTTTATTATCTGTAATACCAAAAGTAGATATTGATACACAAATTAATCTAATTCAAAGTGTTACACCTCCAGTGTGATAAGGCAGCAACTTCAGGTAATGTCCTATTTGGCTTTTGATTCTATACTGTTTCTCAAAGCTCCTCCTCCGCTCTGGTTAATTGGTACAAAATTGGTACATTAGCAAACAGAAGCTCATAAAAGAATTAGGCAGTTGCCCTGCGAATTCCAGCCACGTTGCCAGAAAACTGCATTTTTTGCCTAAGGAAGCCCCTCCTATCCACATTTCTATTTCGTACTGCTTCCTGTGACGTGGATTTCATTTGGTAGCTAATTTTCACTCCTTCATGTCATCAGGAAATGAACCATTTCACAGATTATTTTTTATTACCACAGCTTTGGTTTTAGATGCAAGTAAATTGAAATGCTCAATAGGGTTTCTACATAAAAGTTTAAAGAGACCTCACAATATTTGTTAATTAAACATAATAAAACCCAGAGTAACAAGAAGTATAGCAACCATCCCTTCAAGGTGCTATTTCGCACTGATCATCAGTTCAAAGCAAATCAAGCCACTTAAGATGCTGGAGGACAGCTTCGGCTCTCAGAACCAGGGGTGATCTCAGGAAAGGAACTATATAGCTTCTAAAATACTGGGATAGTAAATGGCTTGCATAATTTAAACAGCTGGAGAAGCAGGGAAGATGCACTGTCTTTGAGATGTACTGGGCTAGAGTCTAGAGTTGACTTTCACATATATCGACTCATTTAAATAAAACAGGAAAAAAAAGTGTTTTGCACTGCTGGTAAGATTTCATACTTACTTTTACATTAAAGGTCCCACATGATTGGATTATCTCTTTCACTTGGGGCACATAGAAGTTGTTCTCTTGTACTCTGAAACCAGTTCTGGAGTTCACCTGCATTGATACATGCAATATGAAAAGGGCTGTCAGCAGATCTAGTGAGCTACGCGTCTGTGTGGCAGGGCAGGACTAAGGAGAAGCAGGGCTTTCTGCAGAAAGAGCTCTGAGGCCCGGCACAGAAGTGGAAGGATAGAAGTGCTACGAGTAGCACAGCACTCGACAGCGAGAAGTCTCAGAAAGCCATGTACAAACTAGCAGGAAAGCAATCTGCATTTACAATGAAGACCCCTTAACAGGACTCCATCAGGAAAGGTATGTTTCACTTTGAGTGTCTTTCATGTTGCAGGACAATCTGAAGTTCCCTGTTCACGTTCGTACTTGTTGGCTGGCAAAGATATGAATTTTGGGGGGACAGTGAACATATAAAGCTCCAAATGATGTAACCACTTACAGAGGAGTAGGCCTGCTGCACTTTTGAGTTTATTTATCTGGATAAATGCAGATTCAAGAGCCTAAGCTTCAAGGCCCAAATCTGCATTCTCAGCCAAAAGGATATTCAGTTCTGAACAAAATTTAACAGCTCTCTCTGATTCATGCTAAGTGCATGCTTGAGCTCTTGACTTTCCTAAACTTTGAACATCTCGGCAGGAGAAAGGATGGTTGTCGAGAAGAATACAGTTATTGCTCCCCTTCTTCCCCTTGTTTATATGCAGCTAAAGATGCTCTAATTCTGTTGTCCCAGAAAACTGCTCGGGTAGCAGGCTCTTAAAGCATCACGCAGCGTTACCGTAGCAGCCGCGCTGTGCCAAGCAGGTGGGTTGTTTTTCAAATGCTGTGAGCAGGTACTGGGGTGAGGGATCTCACCGGCAGAAAGGGGAACGGGCATGCTACGTAATGGACAACACATCCATAGCTCTGTACGCATCAGTGCATGCACTCCTTACACCACTGAAAGCAACCCTCTGCTCCCTGCCCCCTGCCAGGGACTATAACGTGCTTCAGCTCTTCATTTCTACAGGGGGTCAGCCAGGCACAAGTCAAGAGCAGGAGTCCTTCAAAGCTACGCTGGTGCAGAGCCAAAGAGATTCCTGAAGCAATGTCAAAGGGCGAGGCCCCATGTTCCCTTGTAAGAAGGAAACCCAGAGAACTGAACAAGTAAAAAGGGTTAAAATACTCTAACTCACACTGATATGTCCTATCTAATCAGGATCCAAACGCTTTCTCACCTGGTAAAGAATCTGCAGTATCTGCAGAGTCTCTGTTTCATGTGGGTGCAGGCTGTAGGTGTTTCTTAGCCCCCTTCTGACTTCCATGACAAATTGAGACAGGTTTTTCTGGGAAACCCTCTGATATAGAATGACCAGCTCCTTGAAAAAGGATGTTTCTAGATTTGACCACAGGCATTCTGTAAAGAAAACAGCTAGTGAAGTACCCATCACAGGTAACATGTAAATAATGGCAATTTCTGGATGAAGCTGCATTTTCTCTTTTTATCAAATGAACTAAACCAAAAAAATGCTTAATTTTACACTACAAAAATTAGTAAACCTCAGACTGAGAATTATTTTTTTTCTTATGTCTTGCAGTGTAGTTCCCGTGTTTCTACTTCTACGAAAGCATTTCTTCCAGGCCAAACTCTGGAACAAATTACATCGGCAATACTAACTCTCACTCCGCAGCCAAAAACGACCAAGCATTTAAATCATTCAGTTCTGTCATCACAAAACCCTACCAAGAGTTTGCAGGTACTCTGGCTGGAGCTTCATGATGGCTTGTGCTAGCAGCCTGAAAGAACGGAAAGAGCCGTCATCTTCTCCCTGCAGAAGGAAAGGCAAGATCAAGTAGACTCTGAAGTTTTCAGGTGAGTTGGGAGAGGAAGACAATGATGGCAGTAACTTCTCAATCTCCTTTTGCACCTTCAGAGGAAAAAAAAAAAAAGAGACAAGGGTTAAAAATGCAATTATGTTTGCCAAGAATCATCTATGAATTAGGTGGGCACAGAATTCCCAAGTTTCATGCACAAATTCAGAGGTCCTCCATATCTGTGTAGTGAGAATCCTTATATCGAATCCTTACCTCCTGGAAGACTTTTGGCTTCTTGCTCATCTTCTTATAAAAATGTTGCACTGCCGATATGTCTACACCCGAGACTTCTTTGGAAGTTTTGAAATGTTTGTCTCTATCACAAACAAAATAAAGAACACCAAATGATGTGAGAAGCTGGTTTTTGTTGCTGACTGAATAGTGAAGCATCCTAACATGAGAAAATACTTGGAAAGTTCAGCCCCAGCTCCAGTGGGTATAATTTCATCTGTTCTAAGAAGATATTCTCACTGTGGTGTGACCTGATTAATATTCTGTCCTTCTGTCTTGTGTAGCTGTGCACTGTTAATGGCAGGCTTCCTGTATCTCACCCTAAAACAACTTGCACTTCAGTGCCGGGAGGAGCTATTATGGATCCTCTGGGAGCTGTAATATGGCCTAAAAGGCTTATCATGGAACCACAGAATCATTTACGTTGGAAAAGACCCTTAAGGTCATCAGGTCCAACCATAAACGTAACACTGCCAAGTCCATCGCTAAACCATGTCCCTAAGTGTCACATCTACACGTCTTTTAAATACCTCCAGGGAAGGGGACTCAACCCGTATCATCATCTGTCAAATGTGACTATGGGATAATCTGCTACAATGTGAGCTTCTATAGCAAATTTCAATAGGACTGGGGGGATAAAAAACTTAATTTTAGCAAGGGCTTTGAAAACTACAGACTTGCTTCTTGCAAATTCAGATACGACTAATCTTCTCCACATATGTGGCCTAAAATAACACTTTCTGGTCAGTTTACATGCAGCCAATTTATTCTGTTACGTCTAAGTCAGGGCACGCTACCTTTTCTCCAGGAAGCTTCCGCTGATGCAAGCCTCAGATGAAAAGATCAGTCTGATATTCCTGATAGTAAAAAACAAACCAAAGTCAATCCCCTCAACATGAGTAGCAACTTCAGGTTTTTAATTCTGAAAGAACAAAACACGTGTGTACGAGTGTGCCTGCACCTGACCACATAAAACTTTTCTTAGCACCACTTTGTTGGCAGCGCTGCAGAAGACACTGTATTCGAGGAGTCCGTGATCTCCGGCAAGCCTCCTCTGCTCTCTTGGGCCTTGCAAGGGACCCTGCTCAAGCGCCCCATGCCAGCCTGTGTTGCATGCTGGCGGGTATTATGGTGGAGATATCTTCTCCTGACAGGTTGGGATGTTATCTGGTTTTGTTTGTTATGCAAAATAAAAGGCACTGAGGCACGGGAGGGGGGAGGAACACCCCCACGGAGGGGATCTTTGTAGCACACTGAGGGAAAATCCATCAGGGTATCCATTTGCTGCTGCACGAACGCTGGGTTCCCAGCATCTGAAGTGACATTAGACTTACTCACTACCTGTATTCTTGGTTCTATTCTTATTAAAGCAGCTACTTTATCAAGAGATTTGCTGTCAGGCCCTTCCTAGGGAGATCTGGAAAGAACCCTCTCTCTCTCTGTCACCCTCTGAATAACCACTTTCCATATGATCCAAATTGTAATAAAAGTGGTCAGGAAAACATTTAGATCCAAATTAGCCAAGATTTTTAAATGCTCAGAATCAGCAGCTGGAGTCAGACTTGCCCAAAGAAAATAAGCTCCCTTGTAAGATTTGAAAGACGACTATGTAATCACAATTCTCAGCCCTAAGTGTAAGGCTTCCCACAGTAATATATACTTACTGCTTTTGCAAATGGGTAACTAAAGAAGGGATCACTAATTTTTAAATGCTGACACACACAAAACATTCCAGTTTGGGTACTCTGGATTACGATTTTTGCACAAGGCCTCAGTCTGCAGACCGAATCTTTCACTGATTTAGCTTGTTGGCTCTTCATCAACTTAACAACCATTCTGTGCAAGGAGAGGAGGACAGGCTTCTGAAGCCAGGCAGTGCGTCTGCTCTGTTTCTGCAAGAGGGTTATCAAAGGGCCATTGCTTCTCAACATCTCTTTTTCCTGTCCAAAAACTAGGTAAGCAGTGCTGGTACAAGATTCTGTCTTGGCTAAATTCTTGAACATCAGTTCCTACAGTCTCCAAAGAATAATAATTTTTAGAGAAAATCATGCATCAGGGAAAAAAAAACAACTCAGGTTTCTGACTTACTTTTTTATACTCTCCCAATGTTGTGAACTGGAATTAGAAAACCACGCATCCACTTCTTTATCCTGCAGAGTGGCAATTCCATTTGAATAGGAATTCTGTGTGAAATGCATTAAAATATTGACAAGATTACAGGTTTAGCAGATGGGTTTCTTTTTTTCAAGTCAATCATTACAAGAAGATTTCAGCCTAAGTATGAACAAATTAATGGTCATCCAGCGTGACCCAGATGCATTAACCACAGAACACATAGATAATTGCAATACGAGTTAGTTTCTGGGTAAGCATGAAAAGAACTGCAAGAGATATATATGAACTTGGAGCACTAAAAGCAGGATGGAAAATCCAAATGTTTCCAGCAGTAATGTGAACAATGGTAAAATTAGAAGCCATGATCAAATAGGCACATACCTTGTTCTTCTTGCAAAGGACAATGCTTTGGTTTCCTCTTGCAATAATTTCAATCACCTTTTGTGACCTGTTTTTTTCTGTGAAAGAATAAAAAGATTTTCAAAGGAACATTTGAAGAGACAGTCATTATCTTCAGAGAGTTCAGTGCACAGATGTAGAACAGTAAAAAAACCCCTCAGATAGTAGCTGTCTGTCTAAAAGTTGATTCTGTGTGGCCATTACCCGTGATATTAAATCAAGCAGCAAATGGAATCCATTGTAGAATCTGTTGGAATGGGCAAGCAAGCATGAGACAGAATATTAGCCTCTCAGTGTAAACATGGAATCAACAAAACAAGCACCTCCCTGGAAGAAACCAATACAGATTGTACACATCTGCAATGGTCATTACCCCAACAGGATTTTCCAGTGTTCACTGGTAAATTGATGGGAAGTGGTATCAACTGATTAGGCTTCCTCTCGTCTCCCAGCTGTCCTTCTTCACCAGAACCAAACGAATAGACTTTGTCCAAGGAGGGGACATAGACCAGGGTGTGCTGTCTGTTCAGAAAAAGAAAAATGGTCATAATAAGCTAATACCACTGGGCTAGTCAGAATAAAATTTACAGATATGTTTTCAGAGTGGATAGCTGAGGCTTGTCTTTAAAAGTCCTGACAGTCCAGCTATAGAATCCCTTTAATCGAAGGCTTAAGACCCTTCCTTGCATAAACATTCAGCAATAAAGAAACATATGGACTCAAATTTCCTATACTATCCTCTAAAGTTTGTGATTTACCCTGGTTCCACATACAAAAATAAAGTGTTATGCCTTGCTAGCTTCACGCCCTTCCATTTTTAAAAGCGCAACTTCTACGCTGCTGAGCCTGATACAAAGCCCAGGAAAGTCGACAGGAGACTTTTTCTGGCCCAGTTCCAGAAAGGCAGAATGAAATTAGATAATTATCACCACTCTTCGGTTCTTTCTAAGGACCTGCCAGTTTGTCAGAATGGATGGGAATTCGGTGACTTTCCTGACACAGGCTTTTGACAGTCTTTTGCCCTTTGGAACCCAGTACACCCTTTGTTTCTTAAAAGAGCAAAAACCCAAGGGCTTCTGGTGTTTTTGCAGCCCTCTCCCTCTGCTTGGCATGGGCTGAGGGTTCTGCTTTCACTGGGGCTGCGGCAGGAGGGTGGCTTGCACTTGAAGAGTGGATGATATTCTGACAGTGCTGACATACTGGGATACAGGGATTTCATAAAATCATAGAATCGTTTAGGTTGGAAAAGACCTTTAAGATCATCAAGTCCAACCGTTAACGTAGCACTGCCAAGCCCACCACTAAATCATGTCCCTAAGCACCACGTCTACACGTCTCTTAAGTACCTCCAGGGATGGCGATTCAACCACTTCCCTGGGCAGCCTGTTCCAGTGCCTGACTACCCTTTCAGTGAAAAAATTTTTTCTAATATCCAGCCTAAGCCTTGAGGCCATTTCCTCTTCTCCTATCGCTTGTTAGTTGGGAGAAGAGACCGACCCCCACCTCGCTACAACCTCCTTTCAGGTAGTTGTAGAGAGCGATAAGGTCTCCCCCGAGCCTCCTCTTCTCCAGACTTTTTGAACATCTTGGTGACTCCCCTCCCTACTGTTCTTCAGTGATTCCCCTAAGACCTTGACCTCAGAAGGCATGTCACTGGTACTTTCCCACCTGCCACAGGCAACCTGCGAAACTCTTGCTCCCCACAGCTCAGCCACCACGCGAGGCATGAGTTCATTCCGGGTGGAGTTGTGACCAAGCTGGCCAGCCCCTCCTGCTCCAAAGGTGCACACCAGCCCATCCTTGAAGATGAAGAAACAAACAGGATCACTGCGTTATTAATGGCATTCAAATGGTCACCACCGAGAGTGAGAGCCAGCATGACACAATGTGTTACACAGGACTTGGTTCAAAACATCCCTGATTCGAACACAGGTAGAGTTTGCTTTGCATCAAGCCTAATCTTACACTGTCTAATGTCCAAATCATTTAACTCCTGAGAAAAGCAATTTAACTCCTGAGAATAACTCCCTGTTGCTTAAGAATTTTACTTGTATGAGTAAACCCTAGTGAATTAGCTATTGTTCACATTTTCTGAAGCTCCCAATATGCTATAAAAAAGAAAATATTTTCAAAAAGTACCGAGATACTGAGAGTTGAACTGCACTTCTTTGCCCCAAGATTCCCATTCACCATCTCCTTGCAAAAGTTTGCATGCAGGTGACGGGAACCTGAGAAAAGGCCAGTTTTCCCAACAGCTTAGTTAGCGTGCCTTGGGGATAGTCTTCAGACTCAGATGGAAGCAGGCGTTGCCATCCCAGTTTCTCCGTGCTGGCTTTTAGCAGTGTATCTTTTCTCGCAGGTTGAGGTCTCAGGTGCTGACTTTCCATTTCAGACTCACCTTGGAGAGAACTGCAGTATGATCTGCCCCGCATGAGATAAATACAGTCTTCCAGTGCTCTAACGCTCCAATGTACGATGGGCGGTCCCTGTCTGGAAAGAAGACAGCACTGCTAAAGTGAAAGAGTACTGGAGGGTCTCACACAAAGAAAGATTTAGAAAATAGGGGGGTTTAGCGCTTTTCAGTCCTCTCTTACAGCAATTCGTATATTTACAACTTGGTTTTGAGTTGTTTCCTACCCTCCACTATAACATACTCTTTCTCATAATGTTCGGTCTTTTTCATAGTATTTTCCTTTATATTCGATCTGAAACAAAACGCAGCACTTTTACATCTGCTTGCCAAAAGGTACTTGGCTTCAAAATATCTGACTCTCAAGGGTGTGGACTCATTCAGATCCCCCTGACTTCAGGTTCTGTCTGGCCAGGGCAAAAATGCCCCAGCCCTCCAGGTTTGAAGGCAATGGGTGATTTTAATTCTTCTCTCACCTTCTGTTGACAGGGAATTAAAGAAGGCAAAGAGGTATAAAATTAGTTTCCTTCATGGAAGACTGCCCGGAGAAAGGCGTGGAAAGAGGGTTTTAAGAGCCCACGCAATCCAGTTGGCCACACAAAACGACTGGAAGTTCTCTGTAGCAATACAACCCCTAAATCCTTTGTCCCTGCATGCCTTTTCTGGTCAGGAAACAAAGAAGTTATCCAGATCTACTTTCTTCAAAAGACTTTACTGTCCACTGCTGCTCCAAAGGGGTGTGACAGTCCTGAGGAGCCACTCCTGTGTCGGCAGCAAGCTCACTGAGCAGGGGAGCACATCCCTGCTGCTGTCCTTCCTTACCTTCTGTGTCTCCGAGTCCCAGCTGACCAAAATTGTTCTTTCCCCAGGAGTACACAGCTCCAGAGAGTGACACGGCGGCGCTGTGAGCTCCTCCAGCAGCAATCTGAGCGAGTGGAATGCCCTTTAGTCTTTCCACCAGCTGTGGCTGGGGGACGAGCGTGGTTTGGCTCCCCACTCCAAGCTGTCCGTGGGCGTTCTGGCCCCAGGTGAAGAGCCCACCTCCTTCACACACAGAACAAAAGAAAACAGCTCAGCCTCTCTGCTTCCCTCAAGTCTGCGCTTTGGGAGCGGGAGCAAAAATTAGTGCTGTTTTCAGGTATCTAGCTGCAAGGTGAAACCAGCAGCAGCAGCCAAATCACCCTGTTTGCTTCTGACCCCTTTGAGGGTGTGACTCAGCACGGCAAGAATAAAGGCAGGGTGTTTCCACCTCTAAAGCCATACTTGCAAGAAGTTCCCAACCAGAAAGGTGCTCCAACTTAAGAACGATCAGGTCTGGTGACTGCAGAGCAGGGCAGCCACATCTGCTCTCCACAACACACCTTTGCAGAGGGGTGGTGCTCAGGAACCAGAGAGAGACAGAGCTGCAGGTCTCTGGGTGCCGGGAGGAAAGGGCAAGGCTGATAGCCAGCGCACTTTGTGTCCCCCACCCATCTCTCATTACTCTCTAACGGTGTCACCAACTACTGGAAGGAGTTCAGACACTCCCTTCCAAGAGCAAGCCTGCCATAATGTGACTCCCGGTTGGAGGAGAAGTATGCTTCAAAGAGGCTACCTCTGGACAGTGCCATGGCGTGCTGGTCCCCACATGCTATTTGAACAATATCTTGGTTTCCTAGTTCTTTCACCAGCCTACAAAAATAAGGGAAAAAACCAAACAAACAAACAAGTCAAAATAGATAGATGCTGTGCCATGAGACAAAGTAAAGGAAGAAGATCCTCTGCTCACCAAGTCCTAGCACGTTTAGTGGGAATTACGTGGAAAAATATAGGTCACCTCTAAGTTGACCTGCTCTTATGCTAGCCTACTGCAGCTGTGCTAACTGATTTGATTGTGGTTTGCACCATGGGAAGCTGGAAGAGAATGGGGCTCAGCCCTGGGCAAGTTAACAGAAAATCCCACAGCAATCTGCTCTGCCATTTTTAGCTGATGGTTACCCTCACAGCTTAATCAGAAGGTGGCAAGGTTCAGATGTGCTTGGGTCTTTCACCTGCAGCTTTCCCAAGCCACGTGTGGTTTGCAAGTCATCTGCATTACTTTGGTATATGCTACCAATCCTTACTAAGTTTGAGAGAAAGCTGTCTCATGTGCATCTCAAGCAGCTCAGATTTTGGCACCATCCTCAAAATCAATGCACTTCTTGCTGGGTAACAAAAGAAGATAACGTTTTGGGTACTAGGAATGAATGTGTTCCAGTTCCCTCTCTACAACAGGAACACGCCTCAGTCTGTTGGATGTTACCTTTAGGAAAAGTGGGCCACCTTCTCTGGCCGTTACCATCCATACCTCCACTCCATTAAAGTTTCTTACCTTGTCTTAGAGCAGTCAGCTGAAGCTGTAGCCCACTCTTCAGAAAGGTTCCCATCGGGGGAGAGAACGAGCGTATGTGTTGCATCATGGTTTGAACATTGCACCTTTTCATTCCTCCGCGGCTGCGTGAGTTCTGCAGAACAAATATGGACAGGTACGACGGTTGCAGTAAGGCAGCGGGCATCGTAACCATCTCGGTCCCCTCCCCAGGATCTCTGTGTGCTACTGCTTTCAGCAAGAGCTTCTGCTCCTCAGGAAGAAGTGAGACAAGTGTGTATGACTTATTTTCTCAGGCCTCTTGGGGTTTCAGTGTCCTACCTGCTGCTTTATCTCACGCCAGGCAACTCTCCTGGCTATCACTAAAAGACATTTCTCCATCTCTTAGGCTGCTGCGCCACCAGCTCCCAAGACGACCCGCAAAACGTCAGCAGGAGCCCTGGGGAGATAAAGCACTCCCTGAGGTATCTGACCGCCCCAGATTTGTCACAGCTTTGGGGACGGGATGCCTTGAAGTCAGATGTTTTACACGACACTGGAGCAGCAATGATGGAAAATCCATGCATTGCCTGTTTGCAGCAGAGGGAAGTCCCTTCTTGCCTGCAGCTGATGGGCTGCAGGTGCTTTCCTGAGCCGGAGGCACCGGATTCACCCAGTCACTCGCCCGTGGCCCTAGTGCAGCCCAAGCGTCCGAGAGCCAGGATGCCCAAGCCTGAAAGGCAGCCATCAGCAACGCCTTCCACGATCTACCTAACACCTCTGGAGACTCTCTGTCCACACTCCTCGCCCCTCCCCAGCTCAATCACAACAGGTAACCGGAGAGGAAAATCCACGTCTGTCCGCCGGCACTGTCCGCCTCCTCCCAGCCTCCCCCGACCGCCGCGCACCGGGACACGTTCAAGCACCTCACGCAGCGGCCCGCTCCCCCCGGGAGGCAGCACGGCGGGTTACTGCAACCCCAGCGGCTCCATCCCCGCCGGACCGGCCCGCGGG